CCCCTAATAACCCTGACCCCTAATAACCCTGGTCCCTAATAACTGCAGCCCCTAATAACCCTGACCCCTAATAACCCTGACTCCCAATAATTTTGCCCCCCACGTCTGCTCGCTTCCCATCGGAGCAAGACTGCTGCAAATCCCATTTGCACCAGCAACCCCCAGACGCCTCCGTCGCCCACCCCTGCACCGCTCCCCCCACTTCCCCTTTTTCCCTCGATTTTTAATCCACAAAACATCCAAACCGAGACAATTTTCCCAGCTATAAAACAAGGGGAAAGGAGCAAACCCCGGCTGCCGGGGGATTTCGCAGCCCTCATTCCCCCTCGGATGCTTCCACCTTCGAATAAAAGCGAGCAGGCGTGCACAGACCTTTTTTGGGGTGACTTTCAACCCACCCGCCCTCGGATTAACTTGTAAGATCTGCTCCCCCTCCGATCGGGGCAGTAATAATGTGATTATCCAGATCCGGCTGCGGGATAGGGAAGCTCATTACGGAGCATTAAAGAGGGGAAAATCGGGATTTCTGAGGTTCTGTTAAAAGCTCGTTTGCCTTCCAGGAATCTCTGGGGCTTGTTTCGGGGCTCATTTGGGGGTTTCTTTGCAATTTGCCCCTCCGGCTCCCTCTCCCTCCGGGCAAGGAGCAAAACAGCAGGACCCCGGTGCAGCCCAGGGATGGTTTTCAGCCCCCCCAGGTGCTTTCAGGTTTGGGGAAACTGAGGCACGGTGGCCACGGCCCTGCACGGGGGAACAGGTCCGTCCCCCCCGCACCCCGCGGGCACCCGCTGCCCACCGGCAGCCCCCACAGCACCCAGGAAAAGCGGGGCGAGCTGCCTTGGGGGGCTTTTCCCCCCAAAATGCCAGAGGGGAGCGTGCAGGGAGGGTGGGCGGCGTTTCGGGAGGGGGGAAGCCATCCCGGGGATGGGACTGGGATGAGGCTCCCCCCGGTGAATAACCCAGGGTGACGAGGCAGCCGCCAGTCGCGGGGTTTGGTGGGCACAAAG